GGGGGGGGGGGGGGGGCGCGGCTTGGGGAGAGGAGCTTGGCGGCTCTTGCAACAGTGTGTGCGGGCGGCGAGAGCGCCCACGGAGGACATCGTGTCTGGCCGCCTCGGCTGCACCTCGTCTGCACCTCGTCTGCACCTCGTCTGCACCTCGTCTGCACCTCGTCTGCACCTCGGCTGCACCTCGGCTGCACCTCGGCTGCATCTCGGCTGCACCTCGGCTGCACCTCGGCTGCATCTCAGCTGCACCTCGGCTGCACCTCGGCTGCATCTCAGCTGCACCTCGGCTGCATCTCGTCTGCACCTCGGCTGCACCTCGGCTCCACCTCGGCAACTCGGGGCTGCATCTCGGCTGCATCTCGGCTCCACCTCGGGGCTGCGTATCTCGGCTACATCTCGGGGCTGCATCTCGGCTGAATATCGGCTGCATCTCGGCTCCACCTCGGCTCCATCTCGTGGCTGCATCTCGGCTACATCTCGCCGCGCAAGTGAAGGCCATCGTGTCTGTGCCGTGCAGTACGACAAAGGCGTCCCACGCGTCGTAGGCGGCGGCGATGTCGGAGGCGATGCGGACCCACTCCTTCTCTGTCATGTTGGACGAGTCGAGCAGCGGATCGTAGTCGACGATCCGGAAGAGCGTGCGCGTGCCAAACTCGCCGACTGGCGTCACGAGCATGTCGCCGCGCGACGCGGCGTCAACGGCGTCGAGGTGCGGCGCGAGGTCGAAGGCCGGGTCGTGGATCATCGGCACGGAGCGGCAGATCCCGCTGAGGAAGCCGGGAGGGCCGCACGCATACCCGTGAGCCGTGTCCTGCATGCCAATCGTTCCGCCGCAGTTGAGGACGAGCACGCGCCGCATGGGCATGCCGCCCGCCCGCGGCTTGGTCAGCGCCGTGGCTGCATTGGGCGAGGACGGAGCGGGCATCTGGCAAGCAGCCCGGTCGGTGCCGGCACCTCCGACTGAGAGCTAGCCAGGATTTCTTGTTCTCGTATTTGCTTGGGCGGCCCTAATGCCTGGGTAGGTAGGGTAGGTCTGGGCCCTCCCGTCGGGGGTTTCCCTCTCTTCAAGCTGAAATTTTCAGCAAAAAAAGAAATTTTGCGCGCAAATCACGAGGCCAACCCTCCCCAAATGGGTGATCTGGTGCTTGTAGGGCTTGAGAGTGGCCTGCCATGTCACAAGAAGGACTGTGGTTGCAGGAGAGTACCACCAGCCATCACTCTAGTTGGTATAGTTAGCACCCCTCCTTCACCCATCGAGTGATTTCTTTTTTAGTTTCCCATAAGTAAGGTAGGTAGGTAGGTAGGTAGGTAGGGGGCACCGCAGGGGCCGGCCAGGTTTTTCAGAATTTCAGCATCAGGGCCTGCTCTGTCTGTAATTTCATCAGTTCCTTTCTTCCGTGTTTGGCCGCTCCGATCGACTCCAACTGAAAGCGAGGACTTCTTGTTTCTCTAGTGTTATTCTTTTCTCGCATAAATATGTGCTGCGGCGGAATGCAAAACAAAAACAACTCTCTCGGAATGCCACGGGGGGAGAGAGATTTTTAGCAATATTTGTTCCACGGGGTGAGTCGTGCACGCGCGGCCGTGAGTGGTTTTTCCGTCACTACTTCTGGAGGGGGGCACCCTCGATATTAACAGCGGCCACACTTCGCCAAACTCCGTGAGCGATGTTGCGGGCCAGCTCGCGTGCACCCGTGCTCGGCACGAAGAACTGAGGTCGAGCGGGGCTGTGACCTGCCTTTGAGAGAGTATGAGTACTTTAGAGCGGCCGCACTTTGCTCGCTACCCCCCCTGCACAACTAAGCTCATCCCTGCTGCTAGGGGGGGGGGCCTGACCCCCCCAGCAGCAGAGCGCTCCTGCGGGGGGGGGGTCCCGACCCCCCCAGCAGCAGAGCGCTCCTGCTGGGGGGGGGGTCCCGACCCCCCCAGCAGCAGAGCGCACTGGACCCAGCTCTCCCGCCTCCTCGCCGCCGCCCCCCCCTCTCCGCCCTCAGTTCGTGTTTAAGCGGTACTCGTACGCTCGAGGCGGTTGTGTTCGCCGCGCCTTCGAGCCCAATACACCTTTGTCGTGTCGAGTGCTGGCAACGTTTACTCGGGACGCTTTCACACACCGGTACCGGTCACGGCGGCGGAAGAGTGGCGGCAGAGTGCTGACGGCCGGCACGCAGCATCGCACGATCGCAGCTGTGGAAGGGACGTCTGTCACGTGACGCCTGACCCCCGCCCCCCTGCATGTGCCGACGACGCGGATCGGCCCCTGCCTGGGAGCGATGCCACGCGCCACACCCACCCAGCGGCGGCACCCAGCTCACAGCGTACGTTCAAAGCTCGCCGGCGCGCAGACGGCCCATCCTCCATTCACCGCGGCTTACGCCAGAAAGCCATAGGATCGATGGTACGGAATGGCCGCCTGCAGTGCCAGGCCGAGAAGGTCAGCCCTTCGCTGATGTTGTGCCGCCGCCGAAAGCGCAGGATCGCCTCTCGGGCGAATGGTATCTTCCAGTCGTCGAAGACCACAAATCCACCCGGACTGACGCGGGGATAGAGCCTCTCTAGGACCTCGTCGATCGATGTGAATGTGTCCGCATCCACCCGGAGCATCGCGATGCGCTCAATGGGGCCTGGCAGCGTCTCATTGAAAAAGCCCGGGAGCATCCGCACGCCTGCCGGCATCCGGGGAGCGGCCGCCGCATAGCGTGCATGGTCTGCGCTCGCGGGCGTGCCGCCATCAACACGGCGGTGGTCGTCGCTGCGGCTGCTGCCGCCGGGAAGGCTGCTGCTGCGGCTGCGGCCACGATTGTCCATGAAAGAAGCGGGCGCGGAGAGGCACCAGCAACCATCGGAGTCATGGCGGTTTAGGCAGGCGAAGCGGCCTCGTGAGCACCGCTGCCGGGCTACGCCATCACCCCAGCTGAACCGATGCGCACGCGGTGGCCCCGACAAGCCAGCCCTCGCCCTGAGCCGCTCACGCCTCCCCACGGATGCTGCGCCGAGCGACGACGCCTCACGGTCGAGATCGCCGAGGACGCGGGAGAGGTGCCATTCCACCAGCGTCTGGCTAGCTGACAGGCTCCCCTCCGCGAACGTGTCGTCCGCTGCCAGCCTCGCCCGCTCGCTCGCATCTTTGCTGTAGTCGAGCGGCGGCATGCCACGGAAAGAGTCAGCGAGCCACATCCTCCGGGGCCCGAGCTGGCCATTGACGTGCAGGAGTGCAGCCATGAAGATGCTGAGGCCGCCCTGGTATACGCCAGCCTCAACGAAGTCGCCGGCGACGCCCTGTGCAAACACCTGCTGTGCGAGCGGCTCAAGCATGGACGCCCGCCGAAAGCAGTCCCAAGTGCATGGAGCCTCGTCATCGCCCATTGTGAACTGCCCGTTGAAGGTTGGTTCCAGAGCACCCCTGCCGACAATCGAGCGCTTCACTCGCTGAAGCTGCGCGAGGCTGGCAGGGGTGAGCGCTCCTTTGCCTGGCCACTCGGCTCGAGGAGGGCAGGCTTCCATCCTCTGTGATTGAGAGTGGCGCCGCCGCGCGCCGCGCACCACGACGGCGGTGCAATTTCGGACTTACTTTTACCGGAGTTTAGTTAGTTGTTCATAGACTACAGCACAGGGCTTCCGGTTCACAACCGGGCGAGTGAACGAACCGTTCACGTGAACGGTTCACATGTGAACGTGAACGTGAACCAGATCGCACCGCGGGCCGGCTGTGAACGAACCGTTCACGTGAACGGTTCACAACGGTTCACACCGTTCAAACATATTGCGTACTTGACACATACTGTAACGACCTTTCGAGCGCCCATGTCATATCGATCGCCATGCGATCCAGCGTCCTTCGTGGGGCCTATAAAGTCTGTCGAAATGGGGCCGCCATCATTCTTATCTCACTCCCCAAAGTCTCCTCTAGGGGTAAGTTTGTACAAGTTAGAGAGAGAGTACAAGTTTCAGGGGTTGGGCGAGAGCTCATAACAGCCAGGTGGCGGCGTCGGTGCGGAATGTTGTGGAGGGTGCGACGAAATCGAAGATCCGTACCGTGCACAGTGGTCGGCTGCGCAGCCTCTTGCACACCAGATTGCCTCTCGCCATGGCACCCAAAAGCTTTGAGCCCAAGAATCGTGGGTCGACGAAGAAGGATGGATGCGGCCGCGAAGTCGTTGTGTGAGCCCTCATGATCTAAACGTAACGATGCCACGCCTGCTTGGCCTTCTCGCCATGGATTACATATGCCTGGGCTATCCAGCACCGCCAGGCATGACCATGGAAGGAGGGGGCGCTGAGGAGCTCGCTCGAGCGTGGCAGCAGACAAACCAGCTCATGAACCTGCCTCTTCACACCAATCACGGTGCCTTGGGCTCGGGAGATCTTGTGCCGCCAAGTGCCATCAAAACGATACTGTGACGTTTGAGCGAACCTGTCCTTCAGCTGTCCTACTGTTTAGAAAATCTAGTCAGTTCAGCACTTTCACAGTGAACTCCCCTGCAGCGATCAGGATGGGCGACGTGGGGTTGCCACACGCTGAGTCCGAGGAGGGCTCGGTTGAAGATCAGCGCCACGAGGATATCCGCGGACGCCTCCAGCTGCCCTTCTTCCTGTACGAAGGGCCCAATATCGACGATGGCACGTGGTTCGAGCCTTGTGCGCGTGGGCTGCGCGGTGAAACGGTCACTGAGGATCAGTACTCGGGTGAGCACTACTTCCTCAGCCAGCTGCGCGGTCATCGTTGGCGCGTGCGCGACCCCGCTACCGCGTTGCTATTCGTTGTGCCGCTGTACATCAACGCCGCGCTGCAGCCTTCCGTCGCTGGCACCTCATGCAACGGGACGCATTACCAGCGGCTGCTGGATGCCACGGCAGCAGCGGTCGCCTCCACCGAGCAGTACGCAAGGCACCAAGGGGCCGACCACCTCATCGTGTGCAACTCCTGGAAGCTGTCCCAGCGCCCGCCGGCGCAGGCCCCGTAAGTTCGCCACACGAATTTCCGAGGTTCTGTCCCCAGCGTCACCGCGTTTTGCGCTTGCTGGCACGCCCCTGCACGCACAGGTGGTCGAAGCAAGGCCAGCTGCCAAACGACTTTTTCCGGCGTACGTTTCGGAATGCCATTGTCGGCCATATGGAGACCCGCCACGACGACGAGTCTGCCTTCTGGCGCTGCTCTGTCGTCTCGCCATACACGGCAAATTACAACGAGGCGGCGCAGTCGCACCTCCGGTCGGCGTCCGCCCCGGAGCGCGACGTGAGCTTCTACTTCCAGGGAGGGGCTAACAATCGCGGCACCTTTGGCTACGCCTTCCGGCAGGCGGCCCTGGCCCAGCTCGACGGCTTCCCCGGCGCCTACGTCTGCCTTCTCGCTCCCCGGGTCGCCTGCGCCGTGCCGCGGCGGGATCACCACCAACTGCCGCGCGGGCCGCTCCAACCCCGCATTCAGGTCGCTCATGGCGCGGGCGCGTTTCAACCTTGTCCTTCGCGGCGACTCGCCCTCCTCCCGTCGGATCTATGATGGCCTCGCCGCGGGGGCCCTCTCGGTGTTCGTCTCCGCCCAGCTCTGGTCCGTCGGACTGCCCTTCAGCTGTCTCGTGCCGTGGCGCAGGATGGCCTTCACCATGGCCGAGCGTCCCTTCTTGAGTGCAGCAGGTGCGTCGAGCGCGCTGAGAAGCCTCAGCGAGCTCTCGCCCGCGGTGCTGAACCGCATGCAGCGCGTCGCCAACCGCCACCGCCGTGATCTGATCTGGAACATGAATGGCTCCCGAGTGGCCGAGAACTTACTGATCACCGCAGCGCTGCGCTGCCTGCCCGCGCACGTGACGCGACGTGCCAGCGCCCGTGCCGCGAGCCTCGCACACTCTCTCCGTCAGCTCCGGCAGCAGTGCCCGCACCTCGACCTCTCGATGGCCTGCCGCACGCCGGACGCGTCCAATTGCGCTGGGGCCGTTGCCGGCGGCGAGCATCAGCACAGTGACGCCACTCATCTCGCCCTCCCCGCAAGTCGCGTTGACCCGCCCGCCGCTCGCGCTGCCGCGGCACCACCGCCCCCTCGCCCCGCATGCCGGCCGTCCGCCTCCTCGACCTCCCCACCGAGCTCCTCGTATTTCTGGATTTGGATTTTCTGCATGTTTTCAAAAAGGAATGCCCACACGCGAGAGCGTGGCGCGCCAGAGATCGCTGCCAGCAGGCCAGCCAGATACAGCATACAGGGGGGGTGCCGGCGCGCGGCGGTCACTCCCTTCCTCGACACTCAATCGCTTCTATCACTCCCGTCCGGCGTCACGAGCCGCCCTGCTGCGTGCGGTATTTCGACACCTCCGTCGCCACCTCGCTCGCCGCGCCCCAGAGAGAGGAGCCGACGCGCACCGTGCGCCCCCACACAGAGGTAGCCGACGCGTGCGCCTCCTGCGCGGCGCGGATCCTCGCAACCTCGTCGCGCGTCAAATGCAGCACCGTGGCGATGGCGGGGAAGAGCGCCTAATTGATTGCGCGTTCGGAGGTACTGATGAATTCGCGTGTGTGCAGCACCGTGGCCGGGGGTGATGGCGGGGAAGAGCGCCTCGTGCTCTGACTCGAGCTCCATGTACCGGATCATCAGCGTGCGCACATACGCCCGCTCCTCGCGCCAGCCGCCGCTCTCTTGCGCCACCGCCGCGTCCGCCTCGCGCCGCGCCTGGCTCGCTCTCGCCTCGACCGCCGCCCTCTCCGCACGGCTCGCCTCCGCCTCCGCCTCCGCCTCCTTCAGCCGCCCCTCCAGCCTCGCGCTCGCCTGCAACCGAGATCCGCCGAGATCCGCCGAGATCCGCCGAGATCCGCCGAGATCCGCCGCCCCTCCAGCCTCGCGCTCGCCTGCTCCGCCTCCCGCAACGCCGCCGCCGCCCTCTCGCTCACCCGGCGCAACTCCGCCTCCAGCCGCTCCGCCGCTGCGACGCTCTCTGCCTCTCTCCTCGCCGCCGCCGCGAGCCGGCCCGCCTGCTCCGCCGCCTCTGCCTCCGCCCTGCGAAGGTCGCTCTCCGCCGCCGCCTCCGCCTGCGCAATCCGCCGCTGCGCCTCCGCCTCTGTTCGGCACAGCGCCACGTGCAGCGCCTGGCTCGTCATTACTAGTGATAGAGTACTAGACGTGAGTCTGGTGCGGGACAGCGCGTCGTGCAGCGCCTCGGCGTGGTCGCTCAGCGCCTCGAGTGCCTCGGCCTGCGAGATCACCCGAGGTCACCCGAGATGACCCGAGGTTACTCTCGCTGAGCACGAGGGCCTCGGCCTGCAGCGCCGCGTCCTCCCCCGCCGCCTCCTCCGCCGCCGCCTCGCCTCCTCCGCCCGCGCCCGCCGCCGCCCCCATGGCCTCGCCGACCTGCACAAGTGGGACGCCGTGAGACGCACTCCCCCCCAAAGGAGATCTGCGGAGATCATGATCTCCCGCCCCACCTCGTCCTGCAGCGCGCGCAGGTGAAGTAGGACGTAAGATCGCCCTCCGCCTCCGCCCTGCTCCGCTCCTTCCTCCGCCTCGAGCTCTGCTATCAAACCCCGCAGGCGCACCTTGTGAGTCGTGACTGATTCGTGATTCACAATGCTCCTCAGCCTCGAGATCGGCGATCAAGACCCATCAGCGCACCTCCCATGGAGCCAGCCCGACGCTGCCGCCGCCATCCATGCCGCCGCCGCACCCCATGCCGCCACCGCCTCCGCTGCCGCCACTGCTGCTGCGAGCACCTCCTTGAGCGCTGCCGCCGCCACCACCCCCCGCCGACTCAACGCGCGCGTTGGCCGCCCTCCTCGCCGCCGCGACGGCCTGCAGGCTCGAGGGAGAGAGGGGCGGAGGCATCGCCGCGCAGAAGAGCGCCGCCTTGGTGGGCGCGCAGAGCGGCTGCGCCGGCAGCGACGGAGGCAGCACGCCGGCGGCCGCCGCCGCACCACTCGGAGAGAGGGTGGCGCTACCCGCGGCAGAGTCTTCGCCGTCGTCGCCAGCCGCCGGCCGAGGCGGTGATCTGCAGCGGGACGCTGCGATCGCCGCCTCCACGTCCGCCTCGAGTGCCGAGGCGCCGCTCGCGGGTGCCGCCGCGGAGGAGGAGGAAGCGGCGGCCGCCAACGCGCCCTCTTGCTTCCACAACCCGACATCCGCCTCGGCCTTCTCCGCCTCGGCCTTGAATTCGTTGATCTGGCTCTCGACGGCGTGCTGCGCCGCATCGCCAATCTTCTTGAGCTCCGCGTTGAGTCTGTCAAGGGAGAGCGGCAGGTCGAGCGGGAGGCTGCGCATCTCTGTCAAGGGAGAGCGGCAGGTCGAGCAGGAGGCTGCGCATGTTTACTGTGCTGCATGAAGGTTGGGCAGGTGTGAACAACACCTCGTGACCACGGCGCCGCAGGGCGCCTGTTGAAGGTCCAGGTGATAGCCCTGGGCCTCAGATCGCCCGACCGCGTCCCGGTGCTCTGCGTTCGGATTTGTGACGCCGCCGCACCGCGCCGCGGCCGGGGGGCCTCCGGAGGCCGAGGATGGCCGTGGCGGACCGGGACGAGCTCTGGGAGGTGAAGTGTCAGTGTATATATTGTAGAGACCAACCATGTGCACAATATCTCTCAGTCTAGCTAAGCCTTGGAAGGCGATGCCGGGGCCGTACAGCAGCTTGATGGTGCTTCGCCGGCGTGCGTCCCGGAGCGGTCCCGGACGGGCGGTCCGGGGGAGAAAATCGGGGGACAACGCCGACGGCGCTCTGATTCGACTTTTAACTTCAAACAAAGACAGTGGCACGCGCCACAGCGCGGTGCGTGCCACTGTCAGAAGCGGATCCGTCAGTTAGTTGTGTTCACGCCGGGATCGTGTCCCCGACAACATGCACAGACTTTTTAGGCCGCGACAGTATGTACACATGGAAACTAACTAACTAACTAATTTAAACTGTACACCGAAGCAGTTATATTGTAGAGCAATTGACTGCATTTTCGAGGAGCTGACTAGACCGGACGAGAGGCATTATGCTTCATTAGCCTCTATCACTGACACGTAGTTCGCAGTGTGTGTGACACCCATTTCGACTACCGCACCAAAAATCTCGCACGGCACTACCCCCCAAAGTCGTGAGTACCTTCTGGAAGCGTGTAAATTTGCATAGTGGACAGCTTGAGCCCGCAGATGTAGCTCCGCGCAGGCTTGGAAAGGTTGGACAACGCGAAGGCCTCTGCCGCTGTGTGTGGCCTCTTGATCACCCAAGCACGCGAGACAAACGGTGGCCCGTTGCGCCGCTCGCGCAATAGCTGTGGATGGCGCTGCCAGACAAAGGTGGGTAGCAGCTGCTCTTCGGGATATCTGCAGTGCCAGCCACAGCTCCCACCTTCAAGAGTGGCATGCGAATTGAAGATCACGCTCCCGTTGTAGACGGAAATTGCGAACTGCCGCAGAAGCCAGACTGGGTAGAAGCTGCCCTCGTGTGGCATGTAAGTGAGAGGTGATTGCCGCCAGCCCGCATCGATGGCCTGAGCACTGAGATTCCGCATAAAGCGCACAAAGTGGCGGTGCTCTCCGTTGTTCTGGAAGAATCTGTCGTCGTTCCCAGCGACTCTGCGAGAGAGCATCTCCCACTCGCTCGACGGATAAAGTAGCGGGAAACGTTGATTGAAACGAAAGTCGGTCGTCTGGCCGAGTGAAAAGGACATCTCGTGCGCCATAATGTGGGGACGGCAATCGCGGAAGAGGCGCTAGTTGGCTGCGAGGAAGGCCACCTTATCATGGCTGCGCGCGGGCTCACGCGTGGCGAGATGGCGCTCAAGATGAGCCCAATTTCGCAGATGCGCAGCGAGCCTGCCCGCCCCGGAATATCTCATGATCCTGAGGCTCTCTGGGTTGAGCAGCTGCCGTCCAGCAATCAGGCGAGATTCGTTGAGGTGGCTGCCAACAGAGACGTGGAGCACAGTGAGCGCAGGTGCGATATGCCTCTCGACGTCGGCGAGCAGACGCAGCATGATGTCCGCGTTGCCGTACAGTGCAGCCGAGACGAAGATGCGGACATCGGACGCGGGCCGCCGGCTGGCCCCTGCTGACGCGGGCGCATTCCAGCGCATGCTAAACAAGTTCTCGCGGTTCTTCCCAGGTAGGTCGCGCGGCAACCAACTATTCGGATTGGGCTTACTCTATAAGGTATCAAAGAAATTTCCCACTTTCCGCTGCTTTCCAGCTTTCCGCACAAATGTGGCACCCGTCGGGAGCGATGGTCGGCCGCGAGGCCGCCATCACGGTGGTGCCCCGCGGCCGCGTGGCCCCGGGCTGCGGTCCGGCGCTCGCTGGTGGCGGTGAGAGCGAGCAGAGAGCGCGCGCGCGAACGTTTCGCGAGTTGGTCCTTTTCTCGCATCGTTATGCGTGGAGATAAAGCGTAAAAGAAACACATGGAGCGTATAGGTCGTGCAGAATGGGGGCGTGGAGATGTGCGAATGCATGCAGTCCCCTCAAAGGGGCCCGAGCGTGACGTCGTCGACTTCCACGCGTCCGTTATTCGCGCCGTAGTCGACCAGCGCCCCGTAGAGCTTCTCATCGTAGTCGACAAACTCAACGCCGTGCATGGTGTAAACGTGGTTAGCCTGCAGCCGCTCGGCCATGATCTCAAGGGCCCGGCGGTCACGCTGTGCGTGCGCCGACTCGCGATTGCCAACCTCACGCCGTGCCGCAATCTCGCAGATGCACTCCTGTGTGCATGAAGGGAGCTCCTTGAAGGACTGCTCGTACGTGACGTCGTCGTCGACGCGGTATCGGCCACAGTACAGCGTCTTCGTCTCGGCGTCCTTGCCATGGTAGGCTGACAGCGGCATGTCGATAAGGAAGCGCTTCGTGCACTCGCGGAAGAGGTGAAAGGTGGACTGCGGCGCATCCCATCCCATGGCGAGCTGCTGCTTCTTGAGCCGGGCCAGGATGTCGTTGCGGTAAGCGCCGACATCGCCAGCAAAGGACGGCGCGTACGTGTTCCAGTCAGAACGCCCCCAAAGGTACATCTCTCCCTACAAGTAGAGCTTGCACACGAGCCCGTTTTCGAGGCAAAACAAGCTCCTCTTGTAGCTCGATCGGTCACACCGCCATCGCCGTCGGGGAGAGGGGGGACGACACTGCTTTGGCAGCGTGCACCTCGATCCTGTACCGTGTTTGTTATGACCCCCCCCGATGAACACACCAGTGAGGGAGGGCGAGACGATCGAGGGGTCCCGTACCATGCGGAACCGACCCTATCCAGTGCTCAAGTGCTCAAGGCGCTTGCGTTTGAACTCGAGCATGCCACGGTCGATTGGGCGGATGTTGTCTGCGCTACTCTTTCTATGCTTGCACTGGCGTCGCAAGCGTCTCGTCGACATGTTTCACCTCCTCTGGGAGCTCCCCACAATCACAGCCGGCGAGCCACACGGACTCCACGCCGTGCATGGGGCAGTTGTCGATGCGCTCACGCAGTGCTTCAACTGGGCAGCCTCGTATCCTTCGACTGATACGCAATCCTCAGCGCATACCGGTGCCACAACAGAGCCGCTACTCAGCGCGATAGCCGCTCTTCTCGGAGTAACGGACACAGGTACAGGTCCCCGATGCCAGGGCTTGCCAGAGGCAGGGCTGCGAACGGAGGTTGAGGCAGACATGTATCGTACGTTGCGGCTCACAGAGGCGGTGCTGCGAACGGAGGTGAGACTGCGGCCCAAGAGACTGCGGCAGCCAAAGGAGCGGCTGCGGGCGAGAGAGACAGAGCTGTGGGTGTGGCTGTGCAAGTCGAGAGACCCTCTCCCCTGGCACCTTTGCCGACCACGACGACTCGGTGACGCGCTGCTCGCTCTGCGGGTGGGAGGTTATCGCGTGCCAGTGCAAGGCCAAGGGCGATCCGCAGGCTTCCACCTCGTCTGCTGCCTTGACCTCGTCCTCCTCGCCGGCACCGAACGAGTCTCCAACCGAGCCGGTGGCCGACATCTGCACTACGCCGGGCTGTACGGAGAAGAAGAACCCGGCGGAGCAGGTCTGCTTCTACTTCAAGCAGGGGCGCACCGGCCACATCGACGAGGCCATGGCGGGGTCCAGCAGCTCGCTTTGAGCGTTTCCTCTTCAACGAATGCAACTTCACGCTCCATCCATCCACGGTGGACCCTTTGCGGAGACTCGGTCGTGTGACCGTGTGTGTGACGCACCTTGGATCTTGAGGACGGTGTGTTGTTGGTACCGAGCAGCATGGCGAGGTAAGCATCTAGCATGCCGTCGCCTCGCCCGCTGACGACCGGGGTTGCCTCGGACTGTGCTTGTTTCTGTCCGTTTAGGGTCTTTGTGGTGGGTCTTCGTGCTCCGGGTTGGTGTGCACGGTCTGTGCGGAGAGCCTGTCCGCTGTCGTCATTGTTGTTCGGTGTCTTAGTGTAGTAGAAGTTCGGTCGCACTTTCACGCCGAGCGGCTAGCGAGCCCCACCCCGCTCGTGGCTCTCGATCCGTCCACCTTGCTCTGGACTATGCCGACCTCAAACCACCAGCGCCAGCACAACGACGTGCCGCGGCTAGCCGCGCCGCTATTGCGACCGACGACGTGCCCGACGCCGTCCCGTGGCCGCCAGGAAGAGGCCCGCGCAACCACTTCTGGCACCCGCGGCTGCCGGGCGTGCGGCGGCACAACGAGTCGAACGAACCGATCAGCGCAGAGCGACGCGTCTCGCGAGCGCCCGCGGCCGCCACGCCGCCACCGTCCGCGGCCGACGGTGGTCGCGAATCAACGCGCCGCGGTGCACCGCTGCGCCTGCTTCCTTGCGCGCCGCTGGACGTCGGCCGAGAAGACCGCTTCCCTCTGGGGACCCGACTCCGCGAAGATCGCGCGCGCGTCGTGAGTGGCGGCGCGCGCGCGATCTCTGTTCCCGGGCACGCCGGTCGCAGTGGCATGGGGTCCCAGGCTCCAAAGCGCTCAACAGCGAGCTGCTCCTCCTCCTGCCGCCGCTCCGCTCACCGAGACAACTCGGTGCCGCCGTTCTCGCCGCCGCCGCCGCCGCCGCCGCCGCCGCCGCCGCCGCCGCCGCCGCCGCCGCCGCCGCCGCCGCCGCCGCCGCCGCCGCCGCCGCCGCCGCCGCCTCCTCGCGCCTTGCCTCCGCCGCCGCCGCCTCCTCGCGCCTTGCCTCCGTCACCGCCGCCCTCCATCTCGCAGCGGCGCGTCCCTCTGATGGCGCGGGCTCCTCGCTCGTTGGCGCCTCGCCGCCGCCCCCCCTCTCGCCGCCGCTCCGCTCGTGGCCGCCCCATCCCCTGTCAATCCCGCCGCCTCCCCTGTCAATCCCCCGCACCACCGCCGCCACCGCCTCGCGCGTTTAGCGGGGGGTCAAAACTCAAAAGGAGGACAGCCTACAAAGAAAAGAAACGCAAGGTCGAAGGTGCCACCTTATCAACCACAACGCAAAAGGCCCGCGCGTGCCGCGCGGGCCCGGCGAGCGACTAGCGAGCCAGCCTGCTAGTACATAAAAGAATTTCACGAAAAAACTCCCTCGTAAACATACTCCCTCCAAAACACATTTACTCCACGGCGGTACTTTCCAGAAACTACCGGAACCAACTTCCGTGCAGAAGCGGTGCTCGCCCGGAGCCATCACCAAAGGCGCATGCTGCTCATCGTTTCCTCCCTTGTGACCGTGACCGCAAGTAGCAGACAATCGAAGGCGCCATTGCTTCATGCGTCGAATTTATCGCTTGTGAGAAGGAGGCGCACTTTCGAGCAACTTGCATGCTTCGAGTGCACGGACGAGCGCAACAACTACATGCAGAGCAACGACTTGGTCTGTGGCCAGTATCCCTATGCATACGAGAAGCTCTGCAAGCACAATGAAAACTGGGCGAAGCAGAAGTTCTGCCAGCGCTCGTGCTATGCGAACGGAGCGGGCTACGACGGCGACGTGTGCTGCGCCGCGCCGCCTCCACCCACGCCGTTGCCTTCCTGCAAGGACGTGACCGACAAGCAGAGTTGCAAAGCCACTAGCGGATGCAAGTGGAGCAGCACGAAGGAGAAGTGCAAGGCTGCAGCGCCGCCTCCACCCATGCCGTTGCCGCCTCCCACGGCCTGCACAGAGTGCACGGATGAGCGGAACAACTACATGCAGAGCAACGACTTGGTCTGTGGCCAGTATCCCTATGCATACGAGAAGCTCTGCAAGCACAACGAAAACTGGGCGAAGCAGAAGTTCTGCCAGCGCTCGTGCTATGCGAACGGAGCGGGCTACGACGGCGACGTTTGCTGCGCCGCGCCGCCTCCCACGGCCTGCACAGAGTGCACGGACGAGCGGAACAACTACATGCAGAGCAACGACTTGGTCTGTGGCCAGTATCCCTATGCATACGAGAAGCTCTGCAAGCACAACGAAAACTGGGCGAAGCAGAAGTTCTGCCAGCGCTCGTGCTATGCGAACGGAGCGGGCTACGACGGCGACGTTTGCTGCGCCGCGCCGCCTCCCACGGCCTGCACAGAGTGCACGGATGAGCGGAACAACTACATGCAGAGCAACGACTTGGTCTGTGGCCAGTATCCCTATGCATACGAGAAGCTCTGCAAGCACAACGAAAACTGGGCGAAGCAGAAGTTCTGCCAGCGCTCGTGCTATGCGAACGGAGCGGGCTACGACGGCGACGTGTGCTGCGCCGCGCCGCCTCCCACGCCCTGCACAGAGTGCACGGACGAGCGGAACAACTACATGCAGAGCAACGACTTGGTCTGTGGCCAGTATCCCTATGCATACGAGAAGCTCTGCAAGCACAACGAAAACTGGGCGAAGCAGAAGTTCTGCCAGCGCTCGTGCTATGCGAACAGAGCGGGCTACGACGGCGACATGTGCTGTGCGAGAGCACTCGCGCCGCCGCCACCAAGGGCTCTGCAGCCGCCGAGACCGCTGCCCCTGCCTCCCATGCCACCGAGACAGCCTCGATCCTTTCTTTCGCCCAGCCCTCTGCCTCCGCTGCCACCCAGGCAGCCTCGCAGGTTCTTCCCAGCGGGCCCATCGTCTCCGCCGCGACGCCCACGCGTCTCGAACCTTCTCTGACTGCAATTTGCTTACTACCGTGGCGTCTCGCTTGTCGCTAGACCCCTAGCCTGCTCTACACCGGCGCAGGCTCGCGCTCATTCAAGGCGCGCGATGAACTTTGAAGCTCGGGCAACGCGGAGTGGCAGTGGCACTTTGTCGCGCTGGGCATGAATGGGCGCAACCCTGAACGCGAAAGCCTAATCCCTCAGACCGATTATGTACATATGTTGTACCCAAAAGAAAACCCTCCAAGGAAACGTAGAGCCCGTGGCGCTCGCATGCCTTGCTGCTGTGAGGCCAGGGCGCCACCGCCAGGCCGCGTCTCTTCCGTCTCGGTGCACCTGACACAATAGTGCTCAATGAAAAAGAATTTTACATGAAAAAGAAGGTACAAATAAAGTGTTCGCGAGCGGGTGCATGAAAAACTGGGAAGGGACATGCCCCCCCCTCTCGCAGGGCAGAAGACGGGGAGGCGGAGCAAACGCGGAGGGCGAGACGAGGGAGGGAGCAGGACTTTGCGCGGAGATCAGTGCAGGAGGATGTACGAAGAGATTAGGAGGAGGCTGCGCTGCGCAAGCACGGGCGGGAGGGGTTTCTCCTGCGGAGTCGTGCGTGCGCGGGGCTCCTCTTTGCGAATACTCCCTACATACATCTCGTACCCGTTCTACCAGAGAATAGGAGCAGCAGGAACCCGAGGGACCATGTGGAAGACGGCTAGAGCCGTAGTGCTAGTCCCCCGGGAGGACGACCCCGGCTAGTCGCCGACCACACCCACAAAGAACCCTGCACAAAGATCGCACGGGCAGGGACCTGTTCCTTTTTATCCATAGCTCACACGTCACAGAAGAGAGCTGTCCGTGATTATTTATTTTATTACCCTTCTCACATCTCACCCTGGTAGCCGACCCTTGCCGCGACGCCGGCTGTCGCCACACGCCAGACAAACACATCGCCGTGCCCGCTGTCAGGAGGACACTCTCCTGCCCTCTCCTGCTCGAGCTCTGGCGCGCCGTACCGCCCTCTCGCCTCCGCCAGCCACGCCTCCCATGCGCCCTGCTTGCCGATCACAAACAACGTGTCGGTTTGGCCGAGATTCGTCGAGATTCACCCAAATTCGCCTAGATTCGCCTGTTCGCGCAGCACAAAGTCGACGCTCGCCAGAGCGCCTCTGTTCGGCGGCGAGGAGAGCAGAGCCTCGAACGCGCCGAAGGCGGCCGACGCGGCGTGGCGGGGCGGCCAACCGTTGACGCCGCAGCCGATCGAGGGGAGGGCGAGGCTCCCTGCGTGCGCCTAGAAACGAAGGGTGTGAAGCATAGAGAAGAAGGGCGTGAACCAGAGCGGAGGGCGAGGCTCCCTGCGGCGCGCCTCGGCGGCGGCGTGCAGGGCGGCGTGGTAGGTCTGCTCTAGCAAGCGGCGGCCCTCCCGGCGCGGGCCTGAGGGAGGGGGGAGCTCACTTTAACGGCTGGGCTGCCCAGCAGCGGGCCGCGACCCTCCCGCCTCACACCCCCGTGCCGCCCGTCTGGCGCGACGGCGTGGACCTGTTCACAGCCGGTCCGCTGTGAGGAGATGCGTTCAAATCGGCGAGGGCGGTCGAGTGCACGGAGCTAAGTGCCTCGCCGTCCTCGCGGGAGTCGCTTAGGCGGCTCCCGTGGTGTACCTGTGTTAGTGCCAGTGCGCGCCAGTCCCGTGCCCAGTGTAAAAGAAAGAGAACAGACAACCCAGTGTAAAAGAAAGAAAGAGAAAACAGACAACCCAAGGGAGGGATGGGAGGACGGCACGCCGCCACCACACAGGGATTTTAAGGAGAGGTGTGTGGTGCGCTAGCCGTCGCCCACCCTAGGGAGTCCGCCTCTTCCTATCTACAACCCAGTGTTGTGCGAGCGAGTATCGCAAAATTCTTTTTCTCGGGTACTGAGTACGCGCCTAGTATGCCTGCGCGCCAGTGCGCTGCCAGTCCCGTCGTTACAGTGTCGTTACCCACCAGCCATGCGCGCCTCTGGTCGGGGCGCTCGTGGCCGCGGCGCCGGCCGTGGCAGTGCCAACGGTCACGCCGCTGCACGGCAGCTCAACGCGGAGCTTGCTCGTGGCGACGCTTCCGCCATCCGCTCTCTCGTCCGCTCGCGGTGTGCAGAGTTCAACTCGGTCAACTGCGCGACCGCGCTGCACCGGCTCGCCAAGGCTGCGCCGGCTAGCGCTCGGCTCGGCGGCAGTGACGCGCACTGGAAGCGCTCGTGGGCGGCCGCGGCCAAGGCTGCGGGCGGGGAGCCATCATCGGCCGAGGCGGCTGAGGCGGCCGAGGCGGCGGCTCTCCTGCGAGAGCGGACGGCGGCGGTGCTCGCGTCGAGCGAGGAGGTTAGCGCGCGCTCGCTGACCAGCATAGCGTGGGCTGTCGGCCGACTCAGCGGCGGCGCCGGCAAAGACGGCGGTGGGTCGGCCGCCACGCTGTCGCCATTGCTCGACGCGATCGCAGCTCGGGCGCGGGCGCTGCTGGCGTCGGGCGCGCTCGACGCGTACGGCGTGGCCAACGTCGCGTGGGCGATCGCGAGCCTGCACGCCGCGGCCGCGGCCGCGTCCTCGGAGACGGTCGAGGCAAACTTGCCCTAGATGTGGAGACTACCGATCCGGCACTCGGAGCAGCTCTCGAGAGGACGCGTGTTGAACGGTCGGGGCTCCGCACCCCCGGTGAAGAGAGGCGATCCATGCTCAATTGATCAGCACGGATCGAGTTGCTACGCTCTGACTGGCGAATTGACCGCTGCTCCATGACTTCGCACGTGTTGAACGGCTAGGCGCCGCACCCCGCGTTGCTCGACGAGCTCGCGACCTTCGCCGCCGCCACGCCAGACGCCTTCAACGCACAGGAGGCGACCAACCTGCTCTGGGCGTTCGCGACGCTCGGCCGTCGGTGAGATGCGCCGAGATGCGCCGAGAGCCGCCGAGATCCAACGAGATCCGACGAGATCCAACGAGATCCGACCCGCCGAGAGCCCCAGCCCTCAAACTCGAAGCCCTGGAAGGCAACCCCCCGAGAGCGGCGGACAGGCACGGGCCGCTCTTCGAGGCGCTCTCCGCCTCGGCGGCGCGCCGCATGGGCGACTACTCCACGCCGCAGGGACGGTCCCATCGGCTCGGTACTAACTAGCGAGCCGGACGTCCGCTCGCAGGCGACTTCACGCCGCAGGGCCTGTCTCAGACGCTGTGGGCGTGCGCCAAGTGCGGCGTGCGCAAGAACGAGCTTCTGCTCGCTGCCGCCTCGGCCGCCGCGCCGCAGCTGTCGAGGTGCGACGCGCAGTCCGCTTGTGACTCAACCAGCGAGATGTGGATGAGTGATGTGTGACTGAACAGGTACGACGCCCAGTCCGTCGCAACGCTGGCGTGGTCCTTCGCCTCCCTCGACACCGAGCACGCGCCGCTAGATGTCTCGGCCACACCTCGGCCACACCTCGGCCACACCTCGGCCACACCTCGGCCACACCTCGGCCGCACCTCGGCCATACTTCGGCCACACCTCGGCCACACTTCGGCCATACCTCGGCCATACCTCGGCCATATCTACCTCGACGTTCGGCTGCACTCGTAGTGACACGGTGCTACTCACGCCGGGAGGGTGGGGCGTTCCTCGCGTAGTCACGGGCCGCGGCTCACCACAGCTCACCCACTCATCAACGACTCCCAACGACCCAATGAGTGTGGCTTACAACGAGCCGCTCGCTACCAGGCACGGGCCACTGCTGCGCGCCGTCTGTGCCGAGGCGGTCTCACGGCCCGCGGACTTCGACGCCGCCTCCGCCTCGCAGCTGCTCTGGGCCCCCTCGCCGGTGTGGGACGGCCAGACGAGGTGCGGATGAGCTGATCCTCCGCGCGACTCCCTATAGGCCCTCTCGCGGCTGCGCGACGGCGTCTCGCCACTGGCGGTGCGGGCGATGGCGGCGCGGCTGCGCGAGGTTGCAACCTCGGGCTTGCAGGCCACTGATGAGGAACAGCAACAACGTATATGGATCGTTCATTGAGGCTGCAACCTCGGGGCTGCAGGCGCAGCAGCTGCTGTACGCCCTCGGGGCTCTCGCGAAGATGCCGGCCGACAGCGCGGAGGGGCGCGAGGGCGGCGGCGGCGGCGGCGGAGGTGGAAACGAAGCGCCTGCGCTCGCGGCGATGCTGTGCGGCGCTGCGGCCGACGCGGCGCCCCACTCTGCCCGCACACAAGCTCGGCACCGCGCTCCTTCTTTTTCACGCCGCGCTCTTTCTCTTTCAGGCGCCCACTCTGACCGCGAACAAGCTCGGCATCGCCGCGTGGGCGCTCGCCCGCCCCGCGGTGCTCCTGCAGGTGCACTCTCATCTTGCCTCTTCGAACCTCGGCGAACCTCGGCGAACCTCGGCGAACCGTTGCTAGGTGCCCTCCTCTGTCGCGGCGCGATGGGAGGCGGCGTTGCGCGCGCGTGCGGTGCAGGTGAGAGAGCACTTGCACTGGCGAACCGTCGGGCACATCGAGCTCGGTCTGCGCACGCTCTCCGGGCCGGCAGCTTCGGAACCTTCTCGCAACCGTCGCGGAGCCCTCTCGGACCCCTCCGCATAGGTCTGCGCACGCTCGCCGGCCGGGAGGGGTGGCCGCCATCGCGCGAGCGGGAGCCGCTGACGCGTTGCCTCACGGCGGCGGCGGCGCGCGGCGTGGCGGGTCGCATCGACTTTCCAGGCGCTCTCTAGGAGCCTTCCAGGAACTGTCTCCGTAGGCGCGCGGCGTGGCGGTCGCGTCGGAGCGGTCCACGCGGCTAAATGGCGCGCCCGCCGCGCTGCTGCTTCGTCTCTCGCCGTGGGCGGCGGCCGCGGGCCGCAAAGGCCGCGGCGCGCCCGTCCTGCTCACCGGCCTCGACGCGTCCCTGCGCTTTCTCCGAACCTTCTCGGAACTGTCCTCCAGGCGCGCCCTTGCTGATCGCCGGCTTCGACCCCGACAGCGGCCTCGACGCGGCGCTCTGCGCAGCCGGCTACACGCCAGTCCACTGGCGGCGCTTCGCCGCCACCGCGTCCGACGCCGCCGCCGCTCCGTGGCCGCCACCCGCCGAGCACGGCGCTCCGCGGGCTGCGGCGAGATGACTCGAGATCAGCCGAGCTCAGCCGAGACGACCCGAGATTAGGCGCTCCGTACGCGGGGTGCGTGGCGCGGTGGCCGTGGTACGCGGCGGGTGATGCGGCGGCGATGCTACTGCACGCCGTCGCGTCGGTGCTGCCTCGAGGCGCGCCGCTTTGGGTGGCGGGCAACGCGGACGAGGGCGCCGAGGGCGCGGCGGGAGCACTCGCGCAGAGCGTCGGCCCGGCCACCTTGCTGTCTTCCAAGGACGGGGCGGTGGTGTGGGGCTCGGAGCGCGCGGCCGCCGGCGCCGCCGCAGCGGCCAGCCCGCGCGGTGCGTTTGACGGCTGGCGGGGCGAGGCGGCGGTGCGGCTGCTTGGCGGACCGGAGGAGGGGCGGGACTGGCGCGTCTTTCACAATGATTTCTTCATGGCTGATGATTGAGGCGGAGACAATAGGAGGGGCGGGCGTGGCGCGTCTTCCCGGGCCTCTTCGCTGGCGGCGGGCTCGACATCATGACGAGCGCGATGCTGGCCGCGCTGCCGCCGCTCCCGCGGAGGCGTGCGCGCGTGCTGGACGCATGCTGCGGCTCGGGCGTGATCGGCGCTGCGCTCCTGCAGCGCGACTCGTCCCTCCGCCTGCACTTGCTCGACGCCGACGCGGTCGCGGTCGCCGCGGCGGCGGAGAACGTGCCGCAGGCGCGCCGCCTCCTCCTCTGCTCCGGCTGGCCCGACGAGGCGGCCGCGTTCCCGCGCCGCGCCGCCGCTGGCCGCAGGCCTGCCCGGTACGATTGGATCGTCTCGAACCCTCCGGTTCACAGAGGGCAGCCCGACTGCTTCGACGTCCTCGTCCAGCTCATCCGCGGCGCCCGCCGCCGGCTCCGCCCGCTCGGCGTCCTCTGGCTGGTGGCGCAGGAGCAGGTGCTCGTGGGGCGGCTGATCACCCGAGCAGTAGCCATCGATCACGACTGATTCGTCGCTCCTTCTTGCTCACAGGTGCCCGTGGGGCGGCTGCTCGCGCTGCACGGCTCCTTCGAGTGGGTCAAGGCGGACGTGTCGGAGGACGGCCGTTTCGTCACGTGGAGCGCGGGAGGCCGCGCCGCCGGGCCACGGCTCGCGGCGCCCGACGGACGGCTGCGCAAGCGGGCGGAGGAGTGGCTGGCGGCTGAAGCCGAGCCTGAAGGCGCGCGGGCAGGCGATCAGCCGCGAAAGAGGCAGCGTGTGTGATTTTTGATATTCGACGCGTGTAAAACTGCGGCGTGTGGGACGGCGTCTGTCCGTCTGAGACGGCGTGGAGAGTAAAAGGCGGCCTTGCTATCTCGCTTAGTGTAAGTGACAACCGCCACGATTGCCTCGCCGAGTTCGGCCAGGTGACGCGACAACTTTGCTGCGCTACATGGGCCGTCGCGCCGCCACCGCTCCTCGTCCTGGTGTTGGGCGGCGTTTCGCCACACGCGCAGCGCCTGCAGCTGGCTCCGCACCCCCTCTGGCAGGCCGCACTTCCGCGCCCAGAAGTCAATGCGCTCGTGCTCGGTCAGAGCGCGCGGTGGAACGGGGGCGCCGGACCTCGCGTAGTGCTCCTCGAGCTGGCCCATGCAGTGCCGAAATGCCTCCGCCGCGTTTCTCTTGAGCGACTCGGCGCCGGCCCTCGCCTCTGTGCGCCGCATGCCGCGCACCTGCGCCGAGAGCGGCGTCGGCTCGTACGCCGCTGCGGATCGCTCGCTGGGAGCAGCCTCGTCCGCCGGTCTCCGGGTGCAAGCCCCCGCCGCGGTGGAGAGCAGCGACTGGAGCGTCAGCAGCGCTGCGGGCAGCGTGGGTCGGTTGCGCAGGCTGTCGTGGCAGAGGCTCTTCTGACCGTCTCCCGCCTTGGCGAGGTCCTTGACTGCGCGCGCCGCGTCGGCAGTCCACCCCGCAGCCACGTCCGAGATCTTCGTCGCGTCGATGTTGGTCCAGAGTTCATCGAACTCGTCCTCGCACCGGTCGGTGAGCTGCACCTCGGAGCGGTTGGTGAGGCAGACAAGGAGGGTGACGCCGATCGCGTAGCCGTCCGTCTTTGGCGAGTACTCGCCTCCCTTGGTGATGGAGGGGCAGAGGTAGCCCGTGGTCATATAGAGAGCGGTCGAGCGGCAGCGGACGGAGGCGTCCGGACGCTGGTCCTTCGCGAAGCCCGTATCAGCAAGAACGGCGGTCAGGTTCTCGTCGAGCAGGATGTTGTCCGGCTTGACGTCGCGGTGCACGATGTCCTTCGAGTGGAGGTAGACGAGCGCCTCGGTCGCCTCGCACACAATGCGAACGCGCTGCCGCCACGTCAGCGGCCACGGCGGCTCTGCCATGCCCAACCGCCGGAGCTGCGCAGCGCGGTCGGGATCCGAGATGCGCAGCCGCGCCTCGAGCGAGCCGCCGCGCATCAGCGGCGAGAGGAGGCAGACGCCGTCGGGCGAGAGGCAGTAGCCGAGCAGCGGCAGCAGGTGCGGGTGGCTCACCGCCTTCAGAAGCTTCACTTCGAGCTCCGCCCGCGACAAGCCGCCGGACTGGCCCGACTTTGCCCGCTTGACGACGAGCGGCAAGTGGCGCAGCTGCGGAGGCGCGGAGAGGGAGAGGTGGAGGTCGGCCGACGCCTCGTAGACATGGCTGAAGCCGCCGCTGCCAATCAGCTTTCCCTCTGCAAACCCGTCGGTCGCCGCGGTGAGGTCCGACAAGGCTATCTCGACGGGCCGAGCAATAGCCGCCTCGTCCGCCTCCTTGGCAGCGACAGACAGCAGATCCAGCCGCGACTCTGCCGCGCTCACCTCCTCGTCCAGCGCAGGCAGCGCGCCCACGTGCGACCTGGCGGCGGCGATGCCCGCTCGGAGCGCGGAGGGGCTGTCCGCGGTGTCGAGCGACTTGAGCGCGCCCATCGCCGCGCCATGCGCCTTGCGCATCCGCTGGCTGTCCCGCCTCCGCGCCTCCTTGAGCTTGTCGCGCACGCGCCTTGCCTCCGTCAGCACGGCCGGGCTTGCGAGGCCGCTGTACACCTCCAATGCGCTCGCTAATCCGTCATACAGGCGGTGGGGGCCGGAGCCGAGACAAGTGCCTCGCCGCCGCCGCTCTTCTTCTTCTTCTTCTTGCCCTTCTTGTTCTCCTTGGCGCGCTCCCCCACCTCCTCCTCCTTCTCCTCCTCCGCCAGCAGCGCCTCGGCATGACGCGCTGCCTCCGCCTCCGCCGCCGCCCTCTCCGCTGCCGCACGCTCCTCGAAGGCGCGCACGCACTCGGCGTGGCCCTTCTCCGTGGCCAGCTGCAGCGCCGTCTTGCCGTTATTGGTGCGCGCCGCCGCGTCTGCGCCCGCCCGCAGCAAGCGCAGCACGACGGCGGTGTGGCCGGAGATGGCGGCGAGCACCAGCGCGGTGCCGCCTTTGCTGTTCTGCATGTTGATCTCCGCCCTGTGCTGCATCAGCAAGTCGACCACCAACTCGTGGCCATGCTGGGCGGCGAGCATCATCGCGGTGTCGCTTTCACCGTCCTGCATGTCGATCTCTGCGCCGCGCTGCAGCAACAGCTCGACCACCCGCTCGTGGCTATGCTGCGCGGCGGCCATCAGCGCGGTGAAGCCGTTGCTGTTCTGCAGGTTGATCTCCGCGCCGCGCTGCAGCAGCAGGTCGACCACCCGCTCGTGGCCTTGGTGGGCGGCAAGCATCAGCGCGTTGACGCCGCTGCTACTCTGCTTGTTGACCTCCGCGCCGCGCTGCAGCAGCAGCTCGACCACCCGCTCGTGGCCGTTGCTGACGGCGTACATCAGCGCGGTGATGCCAGTGCCGTCCTGCTTGTTGATCTCGGCGCCGCGCTGCAGCAGCAGCTCGACCACCCGCTCGTGGCCCTTCTGGGCGGCGTGCATCAGCGCGGTGATGCAGCTCACATCACCCTCCCTGCCAGTCGCATTGACCTGCCCGCCGCTGTCGAGCCACGCCAGCAGCGCCGCCTCGTCGCCTTCGACAGCTGCTTTCGCGGCCTCTACGGAAAGGCTGCCCAGCGAGCCGAAAGAGGCCGCCGCACTCCCTCCCGCCACCGCCTCCCCCGAGGAAGCGCCGCCCGCGCCGCCCGCCGCCGCCCCGCGCCGGCCCGCAGTCACCTCCGCGATGTGTTGCCGGAAGGCCTCGACGCACGCGGCCTGGCCCTTCTCCTTGGCCAGCTGCAGCGCGGACTTGCCGTCCTCAGAGCGCAACTTTGTATCTGCGCCCGCCCGCAGCAGGCGGAACACGACAGCTGGGTTGCCTTTGCCTGCGGCGTACATCAGCGCGGTGTAACCGCCCCCATCACGCTTGTCGATCTCCGCGCCGTGCTGCAACAGCAGGTCGACCACCCGCTCGTGGCCGTATCCGGCGGCGCCCATCAGCGCGGTGTGGCCGGTGTTGCTCTGCACGTTGACCTCCGCGCCATGCCGTCGCAGCAAGTCGACCACCCGCTCGTGGCCGTTGCTGGCAGCGTACATCAGCGCGCTGTTGCCTTGGCTGTCCTGCTGTTCCATCTCCGCGCCGCACCGCAGCAGAAGGTCAACCACCCGCTCGTGGCCGTTGCCGGCGGCGATGTGCAGCAGCGAGGTCTTACCGTCGTTGACGAGCCACTCACCTGCGTTCACCTGCCCGCCGCTGTCGAGCCACTCACGAAGCACGCCAACGTTTGCTGGCGCCCGCACGATGTTCATCGGCCTGTGAGCGTTAGGGACATCGTCCGTACGTCCCTCAAGAGGATGTACTATGTGTTGAGTTCTTTTTTCTTGTCATTGATGGGGAGGGAAGAAGAATCAAATCGTTGAGAGAAACTGGGTGAACTCCGAGTCGGCGTCTAGCGCGCGCGATAAGGTTTTTGCTCGCCTTCCCTGGGACCCCGTGTTGCGTGACTCTGTGCGATTTCGGGCCCGGGGTTGTGCGTTTACGTGATACGTGAACACTCGGCCTTAGTTATGACCGCGCAAGATAAAAGGGTGGCTAAGGGCTCTGCCCGCAAGGCGCCCGCGTCGCAGACGCGGTACCATTGACAAATCTGCGATATACCCCCACACGAGCAAATAGCAAAATCCGAATACCGTGCACGAATCCGGCGATGTCGGACCCAAGCCTTCAGCTGGTGCCAAGACATTCGTAAAATGGAAGCCAAGAATCCGCCAAATCGTGCTTTCGGCCTTTCGCGCTACCTGAGGGAAAGCTCCTGATCGAGCCCAGCGTGCCCGCGGCCGCCTCCCGCGCAGCACCGCCGCTGCGGATCGGATCGAGCCCATGGAGGAGGAGGGCGCAGTCGGCCAGCGCAGCAGGCGGAGTCCCTCCCCGCGCCGGAGCCCCCTGCAGTCGAGGGAGTCCTCGTTGGCGATGAAGGTGGCGACATCGAATCGCGGCCGACACACGTCACGGGAGGAATGGGCGATGAGCGGGAACGATGCGCGCTACGACGCCGACTCCGCCGTGCTCGTGGCCGCAGAAAGCCGCGCTCCAGGAGCACGCCAAGATGCAATGGCTCGCTTGCTTCGATTCAGCTCTCTCGGCAGCAGAAGTGGGGCTGGAACGGGTGGGGGTGGATGCCGATTGAGGGGGAGCGTCTCCAGCTGCGCCCTGTGGCAGCTGCGCCCTGTGGCAGCTAGTCGAGGGACTTGGTAGTTGTGACCCCCCTGAGTGAGGACAGGAGAGAGAGAGCGTTTTGTGGTGTTGGAGAGTGTTGTTTTGTTGTTTGTGGTGTTGGTGTACGCAATAACGGGACAGGGTGGTTGTTCTCTCTATCTCCTCTTCTAGCTCTTAGCACGAGCTGCGCCCTGTGTCCGACCCCTTTTGCGCAGCAACACCTTAAACTTTTAGGCCCTACAAATTCGGGTCGGAGCGTAGCGGAGTGGGCCCCGAGTTTGAAAAGGGCGACGGACGCTTGCGTCCTAGCCTCCAACAACGCCTCCCCGGCGCAGAGGGGCCCCCGGAGGGATGCACAACCGCTCCACGCCACGCCGCTTGCGGCGGTCCTCTTCCCAGCTCCGCTGAGGGCCCGTGCGTTATTTCAAAAGGCACCACACGGCTCGCCAAGCCTCCAGATTCCGGCCACGCCGAAAAACGAAGATACACGCGAAGATACACCGAAGATACACACCGAAGATACACACCGAAGATACACGACACAGCTTCGAAGATACACAGACCCCGTGCGTAACGACGCCCCGCGACTCGACTCGGTGTGCATTGAGCTGCCCTGCCGTTGCACCTCTCCGCTCGCGTCTCGGAGCCGGCGGGCGTGTTCGTCCTCTGAGCCTTAGCCGCCCAGAGCACACGCCTCGAGCCTAAGCACTTCGCCCATACCTCTCTCGCGCGGCCTTTGCGCGTGCCTGCGCTGCCACTCTGCGCATGCCCGACCCCCGGCTCAAGGCAGAGCCACCCCGGCTGGCGGTGTACACTGACATCCGGTGGTTCAGTCTCGCCTCTCGCCACTCGCGATGCCAACTGCGCACTGCCCCTTCTCCGCAGGCTGACTGCTCCTGCAATCGGCTCCATGGCGTCGCCGACGGCTGCCGCTGCCCATGATGGCGTCGCCCACCTCGGGACGCCCCACGACCGCGGCCACAACGGCTCTCTTCGACGGCGAGATCTTCCCCGTCTGGCTCTGCTCCAGCGCCTCGGCCGCGTACCGCCTCTTTAAAGCCTTCGACCTCGAAGACGAAGATGCGGCCTCCCGCGCCCGCGCTTCGGCCGCCGCGGCCTCCGCCGACCTTTGCCCGGCCTCCGCGCCCGCTGCTCGCTGCTCGGCGGCCAGGCACGCCTGCTCGGCCAGGCTCCCGCGCCACTCGGAGGCGGCCAGCAGTTGAGCCAGCTCATCCACGCGCCGCTCGGCCGCCAAGCGCCGTTGATGCTCTTGGCCAAGGAACGCACGCAACTGCGCCTCGCCGCGCCCCTCACGAGCCGCTTGCTCCGCGGCGCGCGCGGACGCGGCAGCCAGCCTCAGCCGCTCCGCCTGCGCCTGCATCCTCTGGATGGTGCCGTTCAGCGTGTCGATGCGAGCGTTCGCCGCCAGACGTTGCTGGTCCGACACGTGTGCCGCATCCTGCAGACGCTCTCGCAATCTCTGCACCTCCGCCGTGAGCTGCGCTCGCGCGCGCTGCTCGACGCGCAGAGACGTGGCTGTAGCCGCGTGCGCCTCCGCCTCCGCGTCCATGCGAGCCACAAGCGCGACGTTCCGCTGCTGCAACCTCTCTGCGCCGCCCCGAGGGAGCGCGACCGGAGGTAGCGGTCGCCGCTCCGGATCAGGCGCCGGGCCCACCGTCGCGCCGTCGAGCGCTGGCGCAGCCGCCTTGCGCGCCTTTCCGGCCCTCCGACCTCGCTTGCTGCCCCCCTCCTCCGCCGGCGCGCCGAACGGCGCAGCCAGCCGTCGGGCGAGGTCGAGGGGACGGCGCGTGTTGCCGACCGTCTTATCGCGCAAGTTCCGGAGCGATGTTTTGTTAACGCTCAGAATACTCGCAACCTGCGGAGGGAGGAGGAGGGAACCGCGTGAGAGGGAGTTGGGAGAGGGTCCCGGATGGCGTGAGGAACGGTGAAGGGTGGAGGGGGGTAGGGGCACCTTTGCGTACACGTCCCCCGTGACTGGTGCCGCCTTTGAAGACGGCACGTTGTCCAGCGCGAAAAGCAGCTCCAGCGCGAGCTGTGCCGGGACAGGCAGCGAGATCGGGCCGTTTGGCTCGAAAGTGGCACTCTCCGTCCCCGGCTCCGTCACGGTGCCGAAGGTTCGTAAGAGCAGCAGCTCCTTCTCCTTGAAAGACTTGACGTGCGAGACCAGCTCCTCGGCCGAGTGCCTCTCTCCCGCAGCACGAAGTCCCTTGTACTCCTCGTACGGGTCATCGTACACCGCCAACGGAGCCTGCACCTCCGGGTTCGTCTTGCGAATGTGCTGCACGTGCGACGCCCAAATTAGCGGACTGCGCGCGATGAAGTAGTAGTCCTTGTTCACGCCCGACAGCGCTGCGGCGTCGCGCGGGGGCAGCAGAGCGGCAATCACGAACTGAGCGTCGGCGCAAGCCTCCGACTGTAGGATGCGCGTGCCCAGCACTGGCCCGTCTGTGGGCGCAGCAGCCACCTGCGCAGGCTCGGGAGAGGGGCGAGAGGTCACTGCCTGGAATGTGCCTCGCCCTTCTCCCTGCGCGCCAGGACTCCAGAGCTACCGTCTGACATGGGGATCGACACGGGCGATGCGCGGAGGCGCTCCAAGTGTGCACCAGGGTGTCAAGTAGCTATCTTAATTTGACTGGGCGACGCGGCTCGCTCTGTGGTGAATGCGAGCCTCCGCCGCGCCAAGGGTCGAGCGCGCGAACGGCGCATTCGCGAACGGCTGGGGCCCGAGAGCCAGTCAAATTATGGGGGAGGGAGGGCGCTGGCGCGAGTAGGGCGGCACCGACGGCGCTGGCATTACCGTGGAACCCATCGAAGACGAGCCCTCGCAAGTCGCTGTGCGGGGCCAGGGAGCGCAGGAGGAAGATACACAGCCCCGACGAGGCAATGAAACGGTGTATCTCGTGGTGTGTATCTCCTCCTCTTGAGTGTCCGCTGCTGGCGAGCCGTGACCAGGCCCCCAACGAGCCGAGCACTGTGTCGCTGGTGTATATGTGGCTGCTTGCCGCCGCCTCCGCGATCGTCCTAGCGCCCAGCCCACGCGTTGCAATCACGAGCCCTTGCGCGGCCGTCCGAATGATGGCCGATGATGACGCAAGCCCGCAGTCCCGCGCCGTGAAGCAGCAGAAACGCGAGGCGGTTGCAGCAGCACGCCGCACCACCGCAGCGGAGCTGACGCTCTCCGGCGAGGAGGTGGAGGCGCTCACAGCGGCGAGCAAGAGTCTTGATCCGTGCTGGCGCGAGGGAGCAGCAGAGGACTGCCCTACGGCCCTGAAGAGCGTCTTCACGCAGCAGCCGATTGACTTCTTCGCGGCTCTCCGCAACCCGCAGGAGGATCCCGACCCCGCGGTCTGGATCGGTGTGCGCAAGACTTGGCCGGTGCTGGCCGAGCGGAGCGATGACGACCTGCTCGCGGCGCTGCAGCCGATCAAGGACGTTCGGGTCGACAAGCGCTCGCTCTGAGCGGCGGCGGGGCGCTCCGTTCGCTCCACTTTCATGGCGCATGGTCCATAAAGGTAGGCTTGCCACTCAGAGACGAGTCGATCTCTTCTCTCCCCGGCTGGTGTGTTGGCATTCACTTCCGGTTCATGTGCATGTGAATGTGTCGCATGTGACGCAAGTGCTTCTTTTTCTCGGAGCTACAGGCCTAGGCTGCCCTGTGTGGAAATACCGCCAAAAAAACCAATCAACGGCTCCAAGTGTCTAGACTACGAGCAGAAGCGTTCGTAAACGTACCAAAGAGACACAAGGACTGAGCTGCTGGTGTACTCGGTGCACTTCTCCTCCTGACGGATCATGCAGAATTTCTTGGTGCAATGGAGCAGGCCGTTCAACATGACGCCGCAGTTGTTGCAGCCGTCAAACCAGGTCTCGCACGTTGCCGGCACGCAGTTGCCGTAAGAGTCGATGATATCCGACTCGCAGGAGGAGACGCTGGACGAGGGGGGCGGGGACGGCCGCGGGCTGGAGTACTTGTTGCACGCAGCCAAATCGTTGCAAGTGAGCGACGGTGGTGCAGGAGGTGGATAGGAGCACAAGCCACACGTTGCCTTGCACTTCAGCACCGCATTCGGCTTGTTGCACTTGCCCGCATCGGCCTTCTCGCGGCACTTGCCTGCAGACCAGATGTCGGTGCAGTCACCGTCATCATTGCCTCCCGATGTGGGCTTGTTTGACGCTCCGCCGTAATACTCGGACTCATCATAATCGTAGGTGTCAGGCAGAGGATCGATCGAGGCGACGTTGGACGTGGCGAGCTCGTTCGATGAGCCCGCTGGCGCTGCCCGAGCCGTCTTGTAGAGGACAATGATCAATGTAGTAGCGCTCAGCATTGTCATCGACGCGAGTGTCTGTGGTACGTATGGGCTCGGTTTGCACCTGTGCTGGGCGCAGTATTCGTGGACGGGAGGGGGGAGGGTTAAATGCCGTGCGCAAATGGCAGGGCGCGGTGGGCGCTCTTTGGGCTCGGTGGTGTCGCACCACGCTTTGTTCGGAAGGAGGGACTCGGTCCCTCGGTTTCAGGCACCCGCGCTCGGTTTCCAGCAACCGCCTCCTTTAGTTATAACTGTTCTTGGCGGCTTGTCCTGTCGTGGACGTCGAGGGTTATGGACAAAGGTGGTAGTTAGTTGGTTTCCGGGTCCGTCACCCTGCCTGGTACACACACACACGCCATAAAGATGAAAGTCAGTCACGCATGTGAACAAGAAGAATCTCTCTCTCTCTCTCTCGCTCTCTCTCTCTCTCTCTCTCTCTCTCTCTCTCTCTCGCATGTGAGAACGAGACAAACACTTTGATGAGGTAACATAACAGATAGATAGATCCGGGCCTCACGCGGCGGTTGAGCGGGATAAGGGGCCGTTGTCTGCTGTGCCTTTTGTGGTGCTAGTCCGTGCCAGTCTGCTAAAAAAGAAAGAAAGAACACAGACAAACCCAAACGAGGGATGGGGGAGGAGGACAGGGTCCACACCTGCACGAGCAGGATTTTGGAAGGACGATCAGGGGCACAGGTGGGGCTCTCCTGCTCCTGACAAGGGAGGGACACGACAGGCTCGCAGCGCGGTGCACGGTGGACTCCCAACTCCACTGGCGGTCTCATCTCAGTCTAGCGACCTGCCTCCAGCTTCTCACTGGCAGTCTCTCGCAACCACAGGCACACTGACACAGGGTGCCAGTCTGCTGTGAGAGGGGCGCGTGCGAAAGAATCCTCTCTGAAAAATCCGCGAACGATGTCCAGTCAGTGAGTGTATAGGTTCGGCCATGCTCCGACGCCTGGGGAACGTGGCTAGGACTGCTGGCGGCAACCGTACTAGCAGACAGCGGCGGCGGCACAGCGGCGGCGGCAGCGTCCGCGGCAGTGTCGGCGGCAGCAGCAGCGGCGGCGGAGGCGAAGGCGGCGAAGGCGGTGGCAGCAGCAGCAGAGCAATCGTCAGTGCAATAGCTGCAGCTGCGCACCGTCGTGGCCTCGACCTCGCTGTCGGTCTGACATTACAGGTGCGTAGAAGCGCTGAATGCACGATCAACTCGCGCGGTGAATGTGCGTTGAGTGGTGGGGCCTACTGCTCTCAGGACTACAATGCTCTGGTGGGCCCGGCGATGGCGCTGCCGGAGCTGTCGCGCAGCAGCACGCTCGCGGTCCTCGTGGGATCGACCCGTGACATCTGGACGCCCTTTCTCCGGGCGCTGCGACAGTCGCCCACCCGCGGCCACCTCGCACGAGAGGAGGAACACGGAGGCGAACGCAGAGAGTGGTGTGCTCAGAGAGAAGGGAGTGCCGGACTGCTCTGCGGAGGAGCGCACAAAGAGGCAGCGCCTACGGCCTCCGTCCCGACACTCGCCCCCGTGCGACAGGCCCTCTCAACGCGTATGTCGTCCGGGCGACGGAGGAGCTTGCTGCCGAGGCGGTGCCCCGCGGGCTCGGGGTCTCGCTGCACTTTGCCCATGAGACCGCGCCGGGTCGGCTTGTTGCGATGCAGCGCCTCGCCCACCTCTCTGGCGCAGCGTACTTTCACGCGGGGCGCTGGCCACAGCGTTGCGGCCGGCGGCAGGTGCGTGCACACGCCCGCACGCCCTGGTGTCGCTGCCCGTAGGTGCGGCCTCAACGTGCACCCAACCTTCGGTCCATGGCACGCGCATTCCCCTCAACGTCTGTGTGTGTTGGACGGGCAAACCCGTTGAGAGCTGCCGTCCGCCCGTAGGCACGCCTACCGTTCGCTCGTGGTTGTGGCTGCCGACGGTCTCCCCCGGCGAGGCGCGCATTGCTCGCTCGCTCCTCTGCCCCGACCATAGTGCCGTGCCGTGACCAGGCGTGGAGACCGCGGGGCCGCCTCCCAATCCGAGCAGCAGCGAGGCGGTCGCAGCAGCTGAGGCGGCTCTCCAGACCGCCCTTGCCGCGACGATCGACCCCACGGCGACCAACACACGCGAGGAGCTCGTTGGCCGGCGCCGAGAGAAGCGGCGGAAGGCAAATTGGTGGTTGCGAGCGAAGAGAGGTTTCCCTCTCGATATAGGTACCGGGAGGCGTGGCGGCTGTGGCAGCGCGTGAGACAGTGTGTGAGCACGCCCGAGTACGACGCGTGGAAGTACCCCGATGCGTTCGACGAGTACCACTTCAGCCACAGCCCGGCGCTGCTGAAGCGGCTGGTTGGGTAGCGGACGCGGGTCGACGCCGGCAGGCGGCACCGCCCTGCCACCGCCGATCGGCGTGTGTAGGAATCCTGCACTGACTTGTGACTATTGTGTCTGTCAGTGAAATCAGTACTCTATGTGTCTGAGTGCGCGCGCAGTGTCGAGTGTGGGGGTAAGGGGCTGTGGCACATACTTGTGCACAGCCACACGTGCTCACAGGTCCCCACGCGCAGCACGCCCAGTCGAGCCCAGGCCCGGCGCCACACCTCTGGACAGCGATCAGCGACAGCGATCAGCGTCCAGCTCCAGCGTCCAGGGTCCAGGTTGCTCCACAGGCACGGCTGAAAGAGAAAGTGAGAGCGATCGAGGTTCGAGCGAGCGCGAGCACCGCGACAGCGTGCGTAATGAATATTTCGGGGGACGTCGTAAGCGCTAGGAAGAACACAGACGACGCAGGCGCACCAGGACATACAATCATAGCAGTCAGTACACCCTCTCTTTTTCCGGGATACAGTTGCAGGGGCCATCGCCCATCGCGCGGCATGCGGCATCGCGAGAGCCGAGCGTCACCTCACGCCCGCCTCGAGTCCCGCCTCGAGCCGCTCGAGGAGCGAGATGTCGCGCCCGCGCTCGAGCCCCTCCTGGGCACGCAGGAGCCACTCCGCCTGCGGGACGAGAAGCAAGTCGGCGTGAGGGGGGGGGGGGGTGAAATCCGTCTCGCAAAGGCACCCGGTGCGCCTTGAGCCAGCTCGCGTGCGTCTCGGGCGGGAGCACCTACGGACGCTGCGTCGAGGGCTCCAGTCCGTCTCCGCCCCCTCGACGCACGGGGGGGGGTCCTCTTGGGGACGCACAAAGGCAGAAGACGCGCGTCTCTCGTACGCTGCGCAGTACACTGGTAAACATGAAC